TTTACCACCTCACCGCGTCTCCCAGCAGCCCTCACAGCTGCTGTCCTGGCGTCATTCCAGGTCACAGTTTGTTTAGGGACTGGAGTGACCATTGCTGAAAGCCAGAGCCTGTGACAGCCCTGCCTGGCCATGCTTCTGCAGTCCATGTCCCCTTAGGAGGGACCCACAGTCTCTGGCAAGGCGGCCAGGCTGGGAGAGAACCAGGGCCTCGCCCTTCTTCCTTCGGTTTCTCCGTTTACCACTACGCAGCTTGGTGAAGCTTGATGGTGGTTTTTCCCGACTGACCAAGTGCACGGAGGACCAGAGAGCCTAGCCCTGCCTCTCCTCGGTAGCCAGAGGCCTAGTGTAGTCCCTAGCCCTGCAGAGGAGGAGGAAGAGAGGCAAGAGAAGGACATCGTGATGGCTTGTGACATTAACGCAGGGCAGAGCCGCAAGCCCTGGTGGGATAAGCAGAGGGCTTGATAGACAGCCGAGGTGACGCCACACAGCCTTGGGGTTAGACAGACCACCTGTCCCAGGGGGTGCAGGGAGGAGAGGGAAAGGGCCGCTTTACACCACCCCCAGATTCCTTGCCTGGTGAGTGAAAAGCACGGGATTTGAATAAAATGCCTGGGTATTTTATAATCTTGGAATCAAGACTGTTCCTGAGAGGACATTTAGAAGAATAGCCCTGGTGTAGAAATTAACAGCTTTGCAGTGGGAGCCACAGTTCCAGGCCAGCCTGGCTCTGTACTGAGACCCTCCCACTCCAGCAGATTTACATGACAGAATGTACCACGGGGTTAAAAAAAAAGACTGGAAAAGATAAAGCATAAAAAGCAAAGATTGATTACTAAAGTGCACGCCTGGAGCCTCTGCACAGGGAACGCAGAGCTGTGCAGAAGCTACTGAGACACCGAGGAGGAGCAGCTGGCTGTTGGGAGGGGCGCTCAGGTTGACTCAGGTCCTGGCTCCGTTCCCTGCCGGCCACCGGACAGGAAGTTTGATAGCATCAAAGCTTTCTGGGGATGGTGGGGTGGAGCCTTCAGGTGCTTTGGGGACCAATTTGACAGCTTCGTCACCAGTACTGGGGATGGAACCAAGGTCTTGGCTGGAAGCTGTGCCTCTACTCTTTTATTTTGAAACAGGGCCTTGCCAGGTCATTGAACTGCCCGGGCTGGGCTGAAACAGCCTGAAAATTCACAGGGAACTACCTCCTGAGCTCTTTTAGTTTAGTTTTTAAGTTTTGAGGCTCTCATTCAGTTGCCTAGGCTGGATTCAAATCTGTAACCTTCTTGCCTCAGTTTCTCTGTGTGCTGAGGTTATAGGCGTGAGCCACCATGCTGGCCCAATTGGCAATTCTGAGTAAAATTGAAACTCATTGCTGCTAGGCGTGCTAGTGCAAGCCTGTAACCCCAGCACTCGGGAGCTGGGGCCAGAGGATTGATTGCTGCAAGTCTGAGACCAGCCTGGGCTACATAGTGAGACCCTGTCTCAAAAAGACAGAAAAGCAAAACAAACAAAAAAATCACAAGAGAAAAGACAGTGGTTTAATCTATGTGATGCGGAACTTTGCCATCTGGATATGTGTGCCCTAAAAGTCTGCGCACATACTGTGAGTGTGTGTGTGTGTGTGTGTGTGAAGAGGTCCAGCAGCTGGGCGCCATGGCCCCTGCGGGAGGCTGAGGCTGGAGCATTCCGAGTTTGAGCCCAGCCTGGCTACCCTGGTGACTCACTGAGGCCCGGCCCTGGAGGTTTTAAAGGAGAGCTGGGAATTTCACTCGCCTGGAGGCCCCTAGGTTTGATGCCAGCACCGTGAGTACACCCTGGCTTACACAGTTTGCATGGTGCTTCTTTCCAGGCATAGTTTGTAGGAAATACGAATGGGATAACACAGCTGTAGCCACCTGACATGAAGCTTTGGACGGGGTAAAGCAGTGTTACCTACACGGCAAGGAAACTTGGCTTTTGGGTTTGCTTGTTTGATTTATCTTTTTTGAAATAAGTCTCACTCTGTAGTTCAGGCTGGCCTTGGACGGACTTTATGGTCCAGTATGGCTTTGAATTCATTGTGATCCTCCTACTTCAGCCTCCCGGTGCTGGGATGATATGTGCCACCATGTCTACCTACTTCTTGCTTTTTGATGACCTAAAACTTCTGTAGCAAGAGCACTGCAAGTATGATTTGTTTCAGATTTTGTCTGGCTTGGCTTTTTTTGTTGTTTGTTTTTTCTGAGACAAGGTCTTGGCATGTAATTGAGGCTGGCAGCGCTCAGGAGGCTGAGGCAGGAGGATTGCCTTGAGTTGGGGCCGACCTGGGAGACTTACTGATTTCAACAGCAGCCTGAACTATTTGAGGCCAGACTAGGCCCATAGCAAGATCCATCAACCTCAAAAAAAAAAAAAAAAAAAAAAAAAATCACAGCGCTGTGACGATGTGCTATTTGTTGGGTTGTAAATAAAGTCCGAGGTGACTGAAGGCTGTGTTTGGAGTTGAAGACCCCCAGAGGCACTCTGCCAGTTCTGCCTGCTGCTAGCCTTGGGACTGAGCAGGGTGTCCCTGTCCCAGGCCGCTTCCTGTCTGTTGCTAGTGTGCAAGTCCTCAGTACACGTAGTGCCCTCCAAAGCCCCAAGTGTCCTGCTGACCGTTGCAGGAACACAACCCTCACTGCTGGCTGTGCCACTGCTTTGCCCAGCAGCGTACCCCCCGGACTCTAGGAAAGCCTCCTTTCTGGGGCCACCGGGCGCTGCAATAGCAGCCTGATGCCGCAGGGCTCTGCTTGCCCACTTCTGGCCCTGGGTGCCTGCAGCGTGGCTTCCCTGAGGGTGGGAAGGCCAGGTAATGACGGAGGCTGGAGATCCCCACTGTGAGAGGACTTTTCACTTGGGCCTTCACTCCTGGGTGGTGGTTTTATAAATACTAATTTACATTTAATCAAGTAAAGTTATAGGAGTGATTTCTTTTTCAATGCTGCATGCTGAGCAAGTGCTTGGAGGGTGTGTCCTTCCTGTTGTGCCTGCGGAGACCTGGTGTCCTTGCTATCTGTGTTACAGGGTCACTTGCATACATGCATGTGGAGTCGTGATAGGGGATCTTGAAGTGGAGATGTTTGGGGCTGAACATACTAGTACACGCCTGTAATCCCAGCACTCGAGAGGCTGAGGCAGGAGGATCACAAATTGAGGTCAGCCTATACTACAAAGTGAGAGGGTCCTGTAAATACTAGTGACAAATGGTGATACTCTTTTTTTTTTTTTTTTTCTTTTCCATTTCTCTTTTTCTCATTTGGAGAAAGGATCACTATGTAACCCAGGCTGGCCTCGAACCCATGGTGACCTTCCTGCTCTCTCTGACCCCATTCACATACTACCCCACCTTGGGGAGCCAGCAGAGACCTGTGTGAATAACCCAGTTCTTAGAAAGCACAGGTGACAAGGAGTTCTAGCACCATCCTGACCTAAGTGCTCATCAGAACCCGATGTTAATGGCCTGATAGGGAGTAGGGAGCCAGTGCAGGCTGAGGAAGCAGTCGGGGATGCACTGATCCGATGGGAGACCCTGGGCCACAGGTTGCCCCAAAACCATTGGAGAGCACGGACAAGAGCAGTGTGGGGAGGCTGCGTCCTGCTGCACACTGGGCAAGCCATGAGCAGTGGACATGGAAACCAACCGTGGGTCTCATGTGACCATGACGTCTGCACGCTCAGGGGGCAGCAGAGTGGACGGGCCTGAGCCCAGCCACCTGCCTTTGCTGCCGAGCTGCAGCTGAGCGCCTTGCTGGCCTGCAGGTCTGCAGCAGGAACTTGGCCCTCTGGCCTGTGCCACGCAGGTGGCCAGGTGCTCCCTGGTTGAGCGGAGGGGCCTGGTTCTCCACTTCTCCAGTCCTGGGCAGGGAGGGCTGAGGCCCTCTGCCCCGGACCTTTCCGCTGCATGGCTCTGCCTGGCTATGCTCACAAGACTGTGGGGCACAGCATCGTTCCAGGCCTCCCCACCCTGTGGAGGCTGTGGAAGCCAAGCCCAGCACTAGGTTCAAACGCAGGGCTCCTCTGGTGCCCATGAAAATAAGGGGAATTCTCAGGGTTCAAGAAAAGGGCAGGCAAGTGCTGAAATCCAGCAGGTTAAGGAAGGGTGAAGCCAGGGCTTCCCTGAGGCCGCACGGGAACTTGGCCCCTGGAGAGGATTCTGATGCTGAGGGTGGGGATAGGGAGGGCTCGAAGCTGCCCTTTTTCTCCGCTTGCCCGAAGCCAGATAGTGGGCCCCATGACAGCAAAGTGTGCTGGTCCCTGTGGAGCAGTACAGATAGCTTGTTCCTCTTCTTTCGTTTTTAATCTTTATTTTTTAAAGATTTTCTGAGATGGATCTCCCTGTGCCGTTCAGCCTGGGCTTGAACTCACTAGGCTTGATCCTCCTGCCTCAGTCTCCCAAGTGCTGGGATCACAGGCCTGCAGCAGCCTTTCTTTACCGGTGTTTGGTGACTTTGTTGGTCTACCTCACATGTCTTGGAGACACCACAGTCAGCAATAAAAAGTGATTACTTGCACGGACAAGCTGTAGCCTTATTGAAGGCAGTGCAGTTTAGGGACCAGTTCTGCAATGTCTCCAGAGTCCCAGGGCTCCCGGGCAGCCTGGCTGGGCAGTGTCTGTGCAGGCCCTGTGGGACGCTCCGCCCTCGCTGCAGCTTCCCCACCCTGCCAGCCGCTGGACTCACCCCTGGTGAGCCTTTGTTCCCTGGAAAGCCCTCTCATCATGTGCCCTTCCCTTCAGGCGAGATGAGCCGTGTCCACATATGACAGGTCGGGAGCCGGCTGTGCAGGTGCAGCCTGTCCGCCTTGCTGCAGAGCCATGCTCCCCTCTGCCCGTCATGCACGCTCCTCCTCATGGCGCTCGGGGAGGACTCGGGGGCCCGTGGTGCACAGCTCATGGCCTTGGGGTCCCACGCTGGCTGGGCACCCTGTGTAGGAGGAGCGGGGTGCAGTAGTGGAAAGCTGCTTCTGCAGCCCTGACCGGCTCCTGTCTGTAGGACGACGTGAGGCACAGGGTGCATCTGAACACCTTCGGCTTCTTCAGGGACGGCTTCATGCGGGTGAAGGTCGGCAGCCTCTCCGTGAGCGACCCTGGGGGCATCGCAGACAAGGAAGCCCCTGTGAGTGTCTCCGAGCCCTGGGCGCACCTTTCCTGAGCTTCAGGGAGCCCCCATCCCCAATACCGAGCCCCTGAAGAGGGAGAAAATCACTCTTGTGATCCCTCTTTCCGGGTTTCAACACAGCGCTTTGCTACGCAGTCAGGCTCACCTTGACTCACGTGTGGCCCAGGCTGGCCTTGCCCGTGTGGCAGTCGGTCAGTCAGTCTTTGACTGGAGTTTTACATAAGCAGCTCTTGTTGTGTTAAAGTGAATATTAGGAGCACTGGGAGGAAGCCAGGCCAAAGTGCCCCTTTCTGCTGGTTGAAGGAGAAAAGTAGGGGTGAGGGGGTGGACATTGGCCGCTGCCCTCTCGTCCCCCAGATCGGGTTCAGCCTGGAGCGCACGAAGAATGACGGCTTCTCCTCGTACCTGGTACGTGGGGATGGGAGACTGTGGTCATCCCTGGGCCCCAGACACTGGGCCAGCACCTCTCTTGGGGTGACGCTCAGTCGGGTCCCCTCAGGGTGAAGACCTGACCTACTGCATTCTAAGGAAGCAGTCAGCCTCCGTCACACTGCTGGTCCTGGACATCTCCAGAAGTGAGTAAGTAACTGCACTACCGCCGGGGAGGCCGGGCTGTCCTCAGGGAGGCTGTGCAGTGGGACTCGCTGGGCAGGGCAGGGCATGAGCCAGAGGGGAGGGCACAAGCAGTGTGTGCGGGGCTGGGCACCCAGAGGTGGCTAGGCAGGGAGCGGGAGCCCCGGCCTCCCACCCAGGCTGTGGGACTCCGCAGAGCACCCGCACTCCCCTAGCAGAGGGGCCAGAGAGGAGACGTTGGGCGAGGGTTCCCCCTGCAGCGCCCTCTGCCAGGCCCTGCTGGAGCCCCTACACTGTCTCCCCTCCTCCCCTACAGGCTGAAAATCAGGTCTCCGCCGGAAGCTGGCGCCCAGCTGCCCAGGATCATCTTAGACAAGGATGAGAAGGTCCCCGGGCAGAGCCAGGGGCCTGACACAAGCCCCCCATCTGCACTCACGTCCAGAGGCAGCCAGGCTGAGCCGGCGCCAGGTGAGGAGCATCTGAGCCCCCGCCCCAGGCCTGCCAGGTGTCCTGTGCCCACACCAGCGCCCAGGCTTGCGGTTCTGGGTCCACCTTGGCTGTCACCCTGCAGGACACAGTCCCCAAGGAGGCGAGGGGAGGGTACGGAGGGCTATCACCTCCTTATTCCCAGCTGCACATTAGTTATTTGTTCCCACTGTATTCACCACCACTTCCCAGGGAGTGGACATCCTGTCATTGCACATCCTGGGGTCTGGACTTCTGTCCCGCTGCCCTGAGGCTCTGCCCCACTACCGGCTCGTCTGGGGTCTCATATTGCCCACTATCACTGTCCCCTGCCACCTGATGGGACTGTCACGTGTGAGCACCAGGGGCTCGAGGTGGCAGGATCATTGTCCACCAGTTCCTCACCCTTATGCCAGGGTAGTCCTTGGCCATCTAGGGTGTCACCAGCATTGTAGCATTGTGGGTCTTCTCTTCTCCTCCTGTCCTTTCCTGCTTTCTCTCATGCCTGTTACTGAGAATTGAACCCAGGGCCTCTCACTAAGCTAGACCCACGGCCCTCTTTCATTCTTTGATTTGAGACTGGTAGCTTCAAGTGTCCAGGTTGAACTTGAACTCGCAGTCCTCTTGCCTCAGCCTCCCAGGGTGCTGGGATGACCGGCTTGTGCTGCCACACCTGGCTAAGAATTCTTCAGACACAGAAACTTTTACATGTGTGGGACTTTACTTAGGACTGGTCTTTTGGGCCAGAGCTTCTGAAACACCCATGTTTTTGAGACTTAACATATTTTCAAGTTGCTTCATAAGTGGCTTGGGTGAGTCTATACCTCTGTTGGAAATACACAGGGATGGTGCACACCTTGCTGTACCCTCACCAGTACTGGATGTTTCCTCTTTTTTTTTTTCCTTTTTATCGGTACCAGGGATCGAACTCACGACTGCCTGCTTGCAAGGCAGGGGCTTATGCCACTGAGCTAAATCCCCGGTCCCCGGGTGTTTCCTTTTTTAAGAACAGTCCTGATGGGGCTGGGGATTTAGGTCAACAGCATAAGCGCCTGCCTGGCAAGTGCGAGGTCATGAGTTCAATCCCTGGTATGGCAAAAACAAAAACAAAAGCAAAAACAAAAAAAACAGTCGTGAAATGCTGAGCATGGTGGGGGATGTCTGTAATGGCAGCAGGTTGAGGCGGGAGGATTGCTTGAGCCTAGCCTGGGCAACATAATGAAACCCTCTTTCAAAAAGAAAAACAGGGGCTGGGGATTTAGCTCAGCGGCATAAGCACCTGCCTTGCAAGCAGGCGGTCGTGAGTTCAATCCCTGGTACCGATAAAAAGATATAAAAAAAAAAAGAAAAAAAAACTAGTCTGGAAGGTGGTAGCAGGTGTTCTTGCTTGGGTGTTGACTCCTCTTACTGGGCCGCGTTTTTCCTCTTTTTCCCGTGTGGCGCTGCCGGCGAAGGCTGGGGCTTTCGTACTGCTATGCCCAGCTGCCCTGTGCCAATTAATATTTACGCCGATCACTCTCTCATTAACCCTCAGGGCCACTGAGGGTGTGTATGAGTTCTGCGAAGATCATTACCGCTCATCACATTATTTAGACATTTCCTCTCCATTTGTGAGAACTTGATCTGAGCTGTGCCCAGCCACAGGGACCTGTGTATGTGATGTGTTTTCAGGCTGCTCACTGTCCCTTCTTGGAGGCTCCTTGCTGCCCATGTAGCCCCCACTCTCACCCCATTAAGAGAGTACTCCGGGCCCCTCCCCTCCCCCCACCAGGGTCACCTGAGCCTGCACCCCAGTGGGCTGGCCTGGGGGCGAGGGGCACACAGGGTCTTGGACACAGCTGGAGCAGGGCCTTTGCCCAGCTGACACCCTGGTCGGTGTCTGGCACCACACATAAAACTGCATCACATTCACATTCACAACGTTGCCACCTCGTGTCTCCTGTGCATCATGCATGCCTTAGACGTGGACCTGCCCACAAACATGGTCACACAGCAAGGAAGTGGCTTCTCCTGCAGCCCTGTCAGTGTCGCACCCTGCTGGCCCTCGCTGCTGGCAGCGATCGGTCCTGAGGAACACGGCCCCACTGGCCCCTGCAGGACTCGGTCACCATCACTGTGTGGCGCACTTCATGGCTCACTGTAGGGGACTCTGAGCCACCAGTGGTACAGGTGCAAACATGGCTGTCCCCGCTAGAAGAGTATCAGATGTGCTGAGGCCCATTGTGCCTTTGTCCCCGTGGTTCCTGGCGGGAGGGGCACACCACACTGTGACAGCTTCTCCGTGTTTGTGCTTGCAGGTGGCGGAAAGTCAAAAAGAAGCGCGGCCGACGCCAGGGTGAGTGCGCCACGGCTGCCTGTACTGGACACCGTGTGCTGCGCGTGTGTGTGGAGGTGTCACATGTACGCTGTGTGTATGTGTGTGCATGGGCATGCACACCCAGCCCACATGGAGCTGGCTTCTGCTTGGGGAGAAGCAGCCTTTCCTGCAGCAGACACTGTGCTCAGCTGGGCAGTGCTTTCCTGACAGGGCCCAGCTGGCTGGGAGTGGCCAAGTGTGCCCTGGGCAGGGGCTGTCCCCAGGGTCAGGGAGGGGCAACCTGCAGGGGTGGAGGCAGCAGGCAGCCTGGCTGACAGCAGAGAGTAACCAGCCTCCGATGCTGCAGGGCCAGCCCAGGACACAGACCCCAGGGAGCTGTCAGCAGCCTGCAGTAACACCTGGAGCAGCAGCCTTGGAGGGAGCTGGGGTTGAGGGAGGGGGCTCGTGTGGGGGTTCACAGAGAAGTGGGCAGAGCTGGAAGCCCAGAGCCTGGCCTTGTAGTAGCTTCATCTTGATGGTTTGGGGCAGTGTCAGCACAGGTGGCCACCTGGAGGGTGTCCCTGGTCCTACTGCAGCCCGGAGGGCCTGGCCGGCAAGGAGCCAGGGAGAAAGAGCTGGGGGAGAGGGGCTTCAGGCCTCGTTCAAAAGGATGGGCATTTTGCTTTCAGAGAAATCGTGGGGTTTTGGAAAAATGGGGCATAGCTGGGTGTGGTGGTGTGCACCTATCACTCCAACACTCAGGAGGCTAAAGCAGAAGAATCCTTGTGAGTTCAATCAAGGTCAGCTTGGGCTTCCTAAGTGAGTTCAAGGCCAGCCTGCATAGCAACACCCTATCTAAAAAAAAAAACAAAGTAGCTTTAAAGTTTGATTGTAACAAGTGTGCTTTTTCTGCCCTCCAGAGTCCTCCTAAAGCAGATTGTTATTTTTTAGGCACCGGGAGAGAAATCCTTCTCCATTCATAGCAAGGCCGGGGCAGTGTCCTTTCAGGTACGTGTTGTGAAGTGCACAGACTTCCCTCCAAACAGGGAGGCTGGCTCTCTGTGCCAGACCCTGTGTAGCAGACTGGTGAGGTGGGCTGGCGTCCCTACTCCAGCTCATCACTGGCACCTTGCCAAGTGTGCAGGTTCCAGCCCAGGTCTGGTAGCCTTTCTGCAACCCTCAGCCTCAACCCCACCCCATGCCACCTCATGTGCCGTGTGGACCCACACAGTTATCCTGAAAGGATATCAGGCTGATGGGGCACTGTAGTTTACAGAGGAATTCACAGAGTTCCAACCCCAGCACAGTCACTGACCCGACCTCGAACTGCTGGCACAGAGCAGGGCCACTGAGAGGGTCTCAGAGCTGTGGCCTGCCCGGGTGACCCTCGGTCCCCAGCGTCGCATCTTGCAGTAGAGAGAGGTGCAGCCTATCTGGGTTGCTGTGTTCATTAACGTGGAATGGTGACAGGCCCCTTCCTCTCAAGGCTTGTGGCTGAGGCGGAGCTGTGGAGTGCCTGGCCCAGTGTGACGGCTGCCTGGCCACGGAGCCGCTCTGGAGGACGTGTGCTCCCACCTTCTCAGGAGGCCCTGCCTGCTCACACTGCCTGTGCCGCACAGGCGCAGGTTCTCTGCTGCTTCAGCTGTGCCTTTCGGGCCAGTGTCGGGGAGCCCCCGCCCCATCTCTGGCGGTGAGCGGGTGCTCTGAGGCCCCGCAGTGTCCCATCTGTCGCCGGCCTCTGCTACTCACGTGACCTGGCTACTGCGCCCACTGCAGGCCCACATCTTTCAGCTAGCACTCACCCCAGCCGCCCTGCGCACCCCTCCGGCCTGCCGCTTGGTGTCTGTCCTCCCCTCCCGAAGTGTGACCTTTGTAGGCATCCCCTGAGCCTTACTTCGGGACTGACAGTAACGTTCAGAAAAGTTTCTTTTTCTCTAGCCAAATGGCCGTGCGTTTACAGCCCGAGTTAGGGCATGGTGTCACTTCCGTCTCCTCCTCACATCTCTTACTCTCTCCTTTCTCCTTGGGAGATACGGCTTCTCCGTGGAAGAGTTTGTAGTTTCTGTATGGACTAGAACAGATCATTATTGGGGGGATCACCATACGGCCATCTCTGGGTGCAGGAAATACAGGCTGCTGGCAACTCAGAAGCCCCCTCCCCTGCTCCCGCAACCCCTCATAAAAGATGCTGTGGTACGGTTGCACCGGTGCTGGGGAGGATGAGGCAGGAGGATCCAGAGTGCAAGGCCAGCCTGTCCTGTGCAGCTCGCAAGGCCAGCCTGGACTTCCCTGTGAGACCCTGTCGTGAAACAAAACAGCCATCATAACTGTCTTCAGGTTTTCCTTTTTGCTGATAGGGAATTTTGTTTGTTTGTTTGTTTTGTTTTTTGTTACCGGGGATTGGACTTGACCTCATGCTTGCCAGGCAGGCACGTATGCCGCTGAGCTAAAGCCCCAGACCCTAGGCAAATGTTCTTAGACCTGTTCTGTGATCCTGATTGTGTGTTGTTTTGGTTTACATTCAAGTTCAAGTTCACTTGAACCCACGAAATGTACAAAAACCAGAAAAATGTAAAACATGTGTCTTTTGTGACTACTGTGTAAATGGCAGGTGTAGACTTTGATGAGGGGATGTTGGTCTTTTTCCCAACAATAAGGTCAACCTTCTTTCTTTGTTGTTGAGACATGGTCTCCCTGTGTAGCCCCGGGTGGGCTCCTGCCTCAGCCCCCTGAGTGCTGCCACCACCCTGACTTCTTTCTTTTTTTTATTCTTTTTGGTGCCAGAGATTGAACTTGTGACCTCGTGCTTGCAAGGCAGGCACTTTTGCTGATGAGTGAAATCCCTAGGGCGCTCTCTCTCTTTTTTTTTTTTTTTTTTGTCATTTTCCTTTTTATCGGTACCGGGGATTGAACTCACGACTGCCTGCTTGCAAGGCAGGCACTTATGCCGCTGAGCTAAGTCTTCAGCCTCCTGCTCTCTCCTTTCTTTTTGAAGAGTATTTTTTACCTGAAGGACAAAATAATACACTCCTCTGAAAGCTGATAAAACACATCTGAAAGCATTTGGCAGCTTCCTCCCAAATGCCCCACAGGCCTGTCAAGCTGTGATAAAGCGCGTGCGCGCGCGCATGCGTGCGTGCGTGCGTGCGTGCGTGCGTGCGTGCGTGTGTGTGTGTGTGTGTGTGTGTATGCGTGTATGCGTGCGTGTGTGCGTGTGTGTAGGACAGTGGTGACTGCAGAGCCCGGGGGCAGGGGCAGGGGTAGGCGTTGGCTGTGCAGGTGCCACCCGCTGCCCTCCGTGTGTGAGCATTGTCATAAAATATGGGAGGGGGCCCTGGAAGGAGGAAGCATCCATTTCAGCTCTGCTCTGGGAGAATTGGATTAAACAGTGTTATTTTCCTCTGTCCATTAATATTCATAACTTATTTCTAAATTTTAAAAAGTAGCAGAAGTAGAGCTGGGCGTGGTGCATGCTTATAATGCTGGCACTTGGGACGCCGAGGCAGGAGGATTGCCACACGTTGGAGGCCAGCCTGGGTCACATAGTGGGTTCAAGGCCAGTCTGAACTGCATATAAAACCATGTCTCGAGCTGGGGATTTAGCTCAGTGGCATAAGCACCTGCCTGGTAAGTGCGAGGTCTTGAGTTCAATCGCTGGTCCAAAAAAAAAGGAAGAAAGCAGCAGAGGGTTCGTGTGCCCTCACATTTTTGTCTTCACTTTCAGTTTTCCTTTAACATCAGCACGGATGACCAAGAAGGCCTTTACAGTCTTTATTTTCATAAGTGCTCAAAAAATGAGCAGCAGTCGAGTGACAAGTTTTCGTTCAGCCTTGATGTGAGTACCCGTGGGGACTGCAGTGTGGGGACTGACCAGTGTACAAGTCAGGACATCGGTTTTTCTATAAGAATGGCTGTGGGCAACTGATTTGGGACCCTCCTGCCTCTCGGGAGCTGTTCCTATCCAGTTCTTATTTCCTGTTCCTTGTCTCCAGTAAACTTTCCTACTCTTAAAGAAGAAAGAAAGAAATAGTTGTTGTCAACTAGATGTGGTGGTGTACACCCATAATCCCAACAATTCTGGGAGGCTGAGGCAGGGGTCTCAAATTCAAGCCCAGCCCAGGCCATGAGGAGCGTTAGCGGGACCCTGTCTCACAATGGCAGAGGGCGGGGATGAAGCCCGGCAAAGGCCCTTCAGTGTCCGTGGGGCTGGGGATGGAGCCCAACCTGGGGCCTTGTGCCTACTGATCTACAGTTCCACACACCAAGACCGGGCTTGGGAAACACTCCCGACTCCTGGAGGAGAAAAATGGGCCGGGGACCCTGTGCCCTGGGTTGGACACCTGGGCAGAACAGCCACGAGGAAGAAAGCCTGGAGCCATTGGGGCCCCGTGGCCGCAGTGCGTGGAAAATGTGGTTTCCCCACCCTGTGTGATCGAAGGCCTCTCGTCCCTGGGCATGACACCCCCTCATGTGGCTTACAGATCATGATCACAGAGAAGAATCCCGACAGCTACCTCTCGGCGGGGGAGATCCCGCTGCCCAAGCTCTACGTCTCCATGGCCGCCTTCTTCCTGCTCTCCGGGGCCATCTGGACCCACGTCCTCAGGAAGCGCCGGTGAGCTGCCCTGTACCCACCTCTCTGTCTCCAGAAGGCCAGCCCATGGCCCTGGCCACGGCAAGCCCAGCCCTTTTAGGGCTGCCCATCTGGGAGGAGCTCTGCGCTGAGTCTCCGCTGGCCGGCCCGGCCCTGAGGCTGACCCTGCTCTCTGGCCAGCTCTAGGTGCCTGGCTGCCTGCTCTGGGCCTCGATGTACCCCAGGCTGGGGCTTCCTGTGCGGGCTCTTGAGGAGCATGGGCCCTTGATGTAGACGGGAGCACCCAGTGCAAGCAGCCCGTGTGGGCCCAGTTAACCGGCGTGCAGACTGGCCCGATTGCAGAGGAGGCGGATCCCGCAGGGCGGGGCCTGGCCGGGTCTGCAGTGTAGACGCTGGCTGGGGCAGTGGCCAGTACTGTGCGTTCCCCTGTCCTTCACCCCGGCAGTGGGCAAGGCCCACATGCAGACAAGGTGATCAGGCTGCTGCTCTACGGGAAGGACGAGTCACACAAGTTCCAGTCATAAAGCGTGCTGGGCGCCAAGAGAACTGTTTGCTTTTACCGAGCCAGAAAAGTGGGTACCTGGGCAGCAGTGGGATCATAAACAGCAGGGCTCCTGTCCGCCCTGTGTCACTGCAAACCGGAGGGTCATAACCACTTTGTCTCCCTCTGAGCACCTTCCTTTCTTTTTCCTGCTTCTTTTTGTTATTCATGGAACTGGGACCTCCATGCTGAGCCCCTCCCCATTTTGAGCCGAGTCCTGCTGGGTCCTCCATCCTGGGCGTGCACTTGCAGCCCCCCTGCCTCAGCCTCCTCGCAGTGCAGAGCGGGGGGTTCAGTTGTGCCCACACACCTTAGGGCCTTCGGTCTGTGTGGCTCCCCTGCCAAGAAAGCCTCTGTACGTGGAGAAGACAGCTCCCGCCAGCCTGGAGGGCTATGTGCATGTCCTCTGCTAGGTGATGGCAGGAGTTATTGTGGCTGGTCCGGTCTGGTGTGAAACCAGTGTGTGGTGGTGAGGCTGCCCCATTTTGTGTAGCCCGGTTCTCAACTCCTTGGTGACGGCCCCTCCATGCAGAGTGGCACTGTTGATACACCCTGTTTTTTGCCGGCCATCAGGGTAAGGCGTAAGGGCACAGGACCCCCGGGTGCCAGGCACAGCCCCGAGGCTGGTGGTCCCTCAGAGTTGGAAGGACTGAGGGGTGTTTGTCACTTCAGCTTGTTGAGGTAGAGAAGGGGGAGGTGTGATGCACGGCCAGCGTGGCCAGCAGAGCTGGGGCCTGCGGGCGCCAGTCAGGACAGGGGGGCCGATGGCCTTGCAGCCCTGCTCTGCTTGTACTCGGCTCAGCTCCTCTTCTGGCAGCACATGGGGTGGGGCGCCTCATTTTCAGAAGAGGTCACCGTGGTTGGTGCAGAGGGACTGGGGTCATCCTGGCTCCCCAATTTGTGTACTCTGCCACATCCCCGTCCCTGTCCCAGTGCGAGGCTATCACGTGGCCCACAGGTCAAGGCAGCCCGGATGCATGGGCAGCCCACCCTCATGGCAGGATGCAGGCAGGGTCCATCTGTCCGGCCTGCAGCGGTGACAGACTGCCTGGCCTTGATTTCCACTTTGACCTGTAAGTCATGGGCACAGGAACAGGAAGGTGCCAGGGACGAGAGCCCGGAAGCCCAGCCCCTGTTGCTTGGAGGCCTGTTCCCTGCCCGTGACCCTCCCCCCCACCCCCTGCCCCCTACGTTTCCTGTCCCAAGGGGCTCCACAGACAGCCTGGGTGCCTGTGCCCTGTGAGTCTCGCCTTTCCCTGAGCGTGGGCTGTGTGTGCACTAGTGGCACCTCATGCTGGCCTGTGCCTGCACACAGTGGCTGTCGCGTTTCTGTCCTCCTCTCCCCTCCCCTCCCCCTTCCTTCCCGCAGTCACAGTGGTGCCTCTGAAGTGGTCTTTTCTGCTCTGCTCTTCCCCCCACGAAGGTTCTGCCTGTTCCCCCACTGGTGGGGTGTCTCCATCTTGTCGTGGCATCTGAAGGACAGGGACACCGTGCTCTATGCTCTCACTGCTGCGGCTTCGCAGAGTGCGGTGTCTAAGAGCAGAGCACCCGCCTGTTTCCCACTCCAGCCTGCTCTGCACCCTCATTCCGCGTCTCCCATCTTTGTCCGTTACATCCGTGCATCATCGCAGGGTCACCCCGGGCAGGCGGGGATGGGAGCAGGAAGTTGCACCTGGCTGCCTGGGGCCAGGAGAGAGGCCAGAAGAGGGGCTACCCGGTGCGACCCGCACTGCCCCCTCCTGCCCTCCTTGTTGGGGATCTGCACTGTTGCACACATCTGCCTGCCTAGTCCTCACCGTGGGGCTTCCCGGAAGAAGCTGGGTCTCCAGGTGGTCAGGACTCAACCCAGGAGCCATCTGTCTCCACCCAGACCATCGCTACTACAGGGGGCCTGTGCACACACCCAAGATCCCAGTGTCCAGGAGGCCAAGGCAGGAGGATCACAAGTCCAAGGCCAGGGCATATGTAGTGGGCCACAGTGCTGCCCTGTCCAGCATGTGTGCCCACCTACTCTGCATCTCTGGGCTGCTCCCATGTCTGCCACTCAGGCGTCTCGGGTTGCCCTCTGGCGAAAGCCTCTGACTGCTATCCCTGCTTCTGCAGGAGCGACGTGTTTAAGATCCACTGGCTGATGGCAGCACTGCCCTTCACCAAGTCTCTCTCCCTGGTGTTCCACGCGGTGCGTATCTGCGTCCCAGAGTGGTTCACGCGGTGCCTGTGAGCGAGTGGGGGACGGGTGACCCAGAGGAGAAGCAGCCCTGGGAAAGGACTGCAGCTGCCCGACACTGCACCACCGGCCTTGGCACTGCCTGAGCCGGGTTTCCTAGCCGCGTCGTCCCCTGCCCGATGAGGCCTGCTGGGTGTTTCTCAGGTGTTTCTAGGTGTTTCCAGCTCTTCCGCTTCTGCAGCGGCCCCTCCCGCCCTGCTGGGTGTGAAGCATGGTGTTAGCGCCTCCCTGGGAGGCTGTGGCAGCACAGGGATTGAGCCTTGGGAGTGGAGAGACCATGCCTGTAATCCCAGCTCCCTGGGAGGCTGAGGCAGAAAAACCCTAGGTTCAAGCCCAGCCTGCACAGTTTAGACCCTGGCTCAGTAAAATGTTTATTCATGAACCTTTCTTTTTTATTTTTGTTCTGGGGATTGAACCCACAACCTTGTGCTTTCCTGGCATGTGTTTATGTGGCTGAGCTAAATCCCTGGCCTCAGTAAAATTTTTTCTTTCTTTTTTTTTTTTTCCTCAGTAAAATTTTTAAAAAGGGGCTGGGGATGTAGCCTAGTGGAAGAACACCTGCCTAACACACAAAATGCTGGGGTTCAGTCCCAGAACCCCCAAACCCAACCAAAACAAAACACAACTGAGCTTCAGTTTTGGTCCCTCACGACCAACGCAGAGGGCATTGGCCTCGCCCAGGGGAGACCACGCTCTCCCCACCTGTGGATGCGTCCGCCCCCCTTGCCCACATCCCCACTGTGCTTGGAGTTGACGTCATGGGAGAAAGCAAGGGGGCCTGTGGTTACGGGGCGGGGTCACCGGAGCAGGGAGTGGTCCTCCCTAGGGTCCACAGGTAGTGAAGGACGGGGCCATCTTTGGTCATGGAACCCAGGGCCTTCATGCTGAGTTCCCACCCAATCCTTTGAGACAGGGTCTGGGGAAGTCAGCCAAGTGGAGCTGAAACTTGGGATCCTGAGTCAGCCTCTGCGCTGGGCTTATAGGCTCAGGCAGCTCAGCATACAGCTTAGAGAGGAGAGGAGCGGGCACTGCTATCACCCCGAGGTCCCACCGGGAGGCCCTTGGGTGCTCTGCTAAGTCTCACCACTGTATTAAAGAGGCACTGGTGGTTCAGGTGTCTCCAAATGTACAGTGACTTTTTTAATACAGCAAAATTAGCCGAGACCAGGTGATTAAATATAGTTTTTTTTTTTTAAAGTGATGGGCTGGTTTATTTACTGTGTAAGCTGCAGAGCTGTGAAAGATAAAGCTGTGGGCGGCGGGGAGGTTGGCCTATTTGGAAGGTTTTGTTCTGTTTGTTTTTAAGATAGGGTCTTGCTGTGTAGTTCAGGCTCTTGCCTCAGCCTCCTGGCACTGGAACTGCAGGTGTGCCTGTAATTTAAGGAGAAATAGGCGGCCACTGTCCAGTGTGCTGGTTAGTGTCCGAGTGTACCCGCTGGGCCTGGGTGGCTCTGGGAGCTCGGACTGCGTTTCCGAAGCTGCCCGACGCGTCTGAGCGCTCACACCAAGCGCCCACCCTCCCCACTCGCTGCTCCTTCTCTGTGCACTGAGGGGATGCACAGATCCCCTCTGACCCGTCACTGTTGCTTGCAGATCGACTACCACTACATCTCCTCCCAGGGCTTCCCCATTGAAGGCTGGGCCGTGGTGTACTACATAACCCACCTGTGAGTAGCGGGCGGGAGGTGTGGGCACAGAGGCGGGGGTGTGTGTTCGCACATGCATGCATGCCTGAGTGTGTGTGTGTGTGTGTGTGTGTGTGTGTGTGTGTGAGAGAGAGAGAGAGAGACTGCTGCAGCTTTTGCCTACACTTGCGCCAAGGCCCTGGATTCCATCTTCAGTACCACAGAGACTCGAAGAAGAAGCAGGAAGCTGTGGTGGTGGGGATGCCCAGCCTGGGCTCCCTGCTGTCCTGAGTGTGTGTGACACAGCAGGGCTTGGGGCCTGTGCTGCTGTTGCCGCCTCCCCCACTCAGCGATCCAGGCTCGCATTGGGGCTCAGGCTTCCTGAGCTTGGCTGCCCGCCTTTTGTGAGGAGCCGCAGCCCAGAGACCCTTGGTGCCACGGGCCGCTTTTTCCTCCAGGCTGAAGGGGGCGCTGCTGTTCATCACCATCGCACTCATCGGCACAGGCTGGGCTTTCATCAAGCACATCCTCTCCGACAAGGACAAGAAAATCTTCATGATCGTCATCCCACTCCAGGTGGGGCAGCTGCGCAGGTCCTTCAGGGCAGGGGTGGGGAGGGCCGCTCCAGACCTGTGGCTGCTGTCTGGGGGACGAAGCGCAGATCTCCCTCAGTGGGTTGTGTCAGACCCGGACTTGGGGTCACTGCTGGGAGGCCCTTGCCACCGTCTTTAGAACCCAAGTACACAGTGATCTCAGCACAGCACTTCACAGCTGGAATGGACACCAGGGAGTTTCAGCAAGGTGGACTGTGGCAAGGGATGGCAGGACATGTGGGGAGGAAGCCCTTCCCGGGGCCATGCTTACCAGTTTCTTTCTTTCTTTCTTTTTTTAATTTTTGGAAACAAGGTCTCACTCTGCAGTTCAAGCTGGGCTTGAACTTACTGTATAGCCCAGGCTGGCTTTAAACTTGTGACAATCGTCCTTATTCAGCCTCCCGAGTGCTGGGATTACAGACATGTGCCGCCACACTGGCCAGAAGTTGCTTTCTTGTTGGGGGATTGTTCCCAGTACTGAGGGGGGAGCCCAGGGGTCACCCCTACATGCACTCCCAACACACTGAGTCTCTGAGGGAGGAGAGGGCCAGGCGCCTCGGGAGTGTCACGGGCGCCTTGTTCAGCCCCGGCCACCCCCACACACACGCACACACACACTGCAGCTTCCGGGAAGTGCTGAGCGAAGGGCAGCACGGTTATGCTGGGGAGAAGTCAGAGGCCGGGTGTCGGTCATATGGCAGTGGCAGAGCAGCTCCTGCCTCCTGTGTTAAGTGTCAGTGACCTGTAAGTGCTGCATGGGGGCAGTCACAGGCCAGTCTAGCTCTGCACCCACACCAGGTGCGGTCTGAGCACAGCAGACCCTGAGCCGGGGATTTTCTCTCACATGGAGCCCAGTGCCCGGGTGCAGCGAGAGGCACAGCCAGGCCCGGTGCGGCACTGCGGCCTCCCCTGCAGCGTCCAGCATGGTGAGGACTTGATGTGGGTTAGTGCTGTGCAGAGCGCAGCCCTGGGGCATCACAGGCCTCCTCTGTGGGCCATTGCTGTGTCACAAGCCACCCCAACACTTGCTGACTTCAAATACAAAGGCAGTCACTCCTGTGGATGCCAGGCCGGGGCCCAGAGTGGGTGGGGCTGGCATCAGCCTTGTGTGCTCAGAGTTGGGCGGTGCTAGGCCAGGGCATCCTTGAGCCTTCACCTGACGGTTTTCAGGGCTGGAGCAGGGGATCTGGAGGGCTCCTTAGCCTTGTGTGATTTTCCTGTACAGCTGGGCAGTGTTCATTCCTTGCAAAAGGCTCGCAGCTCAGTGTGGAGATGCGGGGGTATGAGCCCCACACTCTTGAGAGGCTGAGGCAGGAGGATCACATGTTTGAGACCAGCCTGGGCAACTTAAAGACTTACCTGAGAGTCTGTCTCTTAATTTAAAAAAAAAAAAAAAGCTGAGGAGCTGGGCAGAGGCACACACCTGTGATCCCAGAATTCTGGGAGGCTGAGGCAGAAGAACCAAATGTTCAAGCCCTGCTTGGGCAACCTGGTGCGACCCTGTCTGAAAAAATAAAAAGGGCCAGGGGTGTAGCTCAGCATGAACACCCCGGGTTCGGTCCCCAGCAGCCTGCACACATGCACACACACACACTGGGGGTCACAGTGTCAAGCCCATCTGGCCATGCAGGTGGGGGCCCTCCGAGTGCACAGAGAAGCCCCGGCAGGAGCAGGGCTGTGCACAGGTGAGCACCCCCTTGGCTGCTGTCAGGACTGGGACTGCCTTGCTCCTGCAGGTGCTGGCCAACGTGGCCTACATCATCATGGAGTCCACCGAGGAGGGCACCACGGAGTACAGCCTCTGGAAGGACTCGCTGTTCCTGGTGGACCTGCTGTGCTGCGGTGCTATCCTCTTCCCTGTGGTGTGGTGAGTGACCCAGCCCATGTGGCTGTCCCCACAAGTCTGGGTGTCCCCAGCCAAACAGGTAGCTGCATAGCTTTGCAGGGTCCCAGAGCCAAGGTTGAGACTCACGTCCTCAGTGAGTCCTAGGTTCAGGGAGTGGGCATTGGGCAGTGGCAGGGTGGAACAGGCAGCGATCTGTGGCAGTCATCGAGCTCATCCCATCCCCTGCTTGACTCGGCACAGTGAGTGGCTCCACACAACTGGGGCTGCAGGGCGGGGCGTGCTCCAGAGGACCCCACGCCGGTGACATCATCTGTTACTGCCTAGAGCTGGATGCAGAAAAGCAGGAGTTTCTCCGCTGACCTTCCCTCTCTGAATGTTTTGATTTTAGGTCCATCAGACACTTACAGGAAGCGTCGGCCACGGATGGCAAAGGCAAGTTTGCTAGCACTGCTACTGGCCACGGGTGGAGGAGGTGGGACAGTCATGCGCGGACAGCTGCTGCCCACGATGGTGGGTCTCACTGCCCGCCCTGAGCGTGCAAGGCTGTGGGGACGGCTGCTGCCTTCGATGGTGGGTCTCACCGCCCACACTGCGTGCTGGGCCTGCTGGAGCCAGAGCAGAGGCCTTCTGTTAGGGGACCGGGCCAAGGGAGCCTGCAGAATGACCCATGTGGGCGGAGATCAGCTCCGCATGTTACCATTTCCTGCACCATTTCCTGCTCCCACACACGGCACCACACCTGCCGGGGTTGGGGCTGGAGAGGAAAGTGCGTCTTGGCCTCGGCCACTGGACTCGACCTCGTAGCCATGTCTGGGGCTGTTCCCACTGGCCACCTTGATCCCGGTGGTGGAGTCAGGACTGTGAGGTCTGTGCTGCCTGCCGATGCTTCCCAACGCTGACGCAGCCTCCTTTCCACTTGCCTCCTCTTTTCCCCGGCCTCCTCTCCTCCCTCCCAGCCCTCCCCCCACCCCCAGCCTCCTCTCTTCTCTGGCCTCCACGCAGGGCCTGGCGAGTGGAGCTGGACTGGGGTGGACCCGGGATGCCAGAACCAGAAGTGGAAACTGAGTCCCCCACCCTCTGGGGTGTGGGACTGGAGAGGAGCACCTCTCCTGTACCCTTCCCTGCACCTGATAGGAACAGGCAGCTTTGTCCCTACTCTGATTGACGAATGTTCCTACTCTAACTTTGTTCCTACTCTAACTTTCCGTTGGTTCCCTGTACTAAGGCAGAGGTCTAACTTTCCGTCCTTAAATGCTTTACTCTCCCTGAACTGCTTTTTCTGAGTGTTCAGCTGAAAGCATCATAAAAATCCCAGGAGTGTTGGTGCACACCTGGGACCCCAGCACGCTGAGGCTCAGGCAGGAGGATTCAGGTTTGAGCCCTAACTGGCAACTTAGTGGCCAGCATTTTATTTTAGAAAGTAGAGTGAGGCTGGGATGCAGCTCAGCTGGAAGGCCCTGGGTTCAGTCCCGGAAGCCCAGGAAGATGGAGCCCAACAGCTGCGCCTCTCTGTTGGTCTGTAACTTGTGGGTTTCTCTCCGCATGCCCCCTTCCCCAGCACCCTGGGCCCCCACCCCCAGCTGCCCAGGCTCCACCTCCTCGTCTGCGCAGGGCTCCAGAGGCCCAGCTTCCTGGCCCTGGCGCCTGAGACCGTTTCCTCCTTGTCTAGCAGGGGGCAGCATGGGGCTGCCTCAGCCGAGCCCAGATACAAAGGCAGGCTGGCCAGTGGGGCTCCACTGGGGAAGTACCCCACACCAGTGTCGGCAGTGCCACTGACTCTTTGATGGGGGACAGAGGAGTATAGGATGGAAGGGTCCTCCTAAAGGCTCATCACCCTCAGTGGCCTCATTCATGCCAAGCTTTGAAAATGGCTGGGCTGGCCTGGGCGTGGTGTTGCGTGTGATCCTAGCACTGGGGAGGCTGAGGCAGGAGGATTGGGTTTTGGGATAGCATGCACTATGTAGTTCAAGGCCAGCCTGAAGTCTGCAGCAAGAGCCTGTCTCTAAATAAAGAAATAACAAAGAAAACAATTGTGCCTGTGCCCAGGATCGAGGAACTGTGCTCCCCTGGTGGCCAACGAGGGGACAGTCATGGTGAGACAGCCTGAGGGGCATTGCAGAAGCGTTCCACCGTCTGTGCCAACTGCTGACTCCCTGTTCTTGGCCCTGTGTGTGCCTCAGTTTATCCCTGTGGCCCACCTGTCCTGGAGCAGCTGGCTCGAGCAGGCTGAGCCTATGAAGCCGCTGTTGAACTCAGGAGCAGTGAGCTGGCCGGGCAAGCTCCCGGGTCCCTAGCAGGCTCATTCTGCATGGCATGGCCAGGAGGCTGCTGCTACTCTGCTGGGGTGGGGAAGGACAAGCGTGCTGCAGGTGATGGTGCCATATTGACGCTCTGGTCTCTGGGTTCTGTCCAAGCAGTGGGGTGCTCAGGGAGCTGCCCTCAGCTGCGCCTCCTCCCCACCACGCACTGTCCCAGTCCCTGGGAGGCACAGCCTCCTGTTTTGTGGGGTCACAGAGGGTGGCTCTGGGCAGCGCTCATGTGGCCTTAGAGGGCCACTTTTGGGCGGTGCTTGTCCAGGGACCCTGGCCTGGCCGTCCTCACTGGTGCCACACCAGTTCCTGCTGTGGACACCCACCATGATGGGTGAACTAGGTGGGCAGGGGTGCACCCCCTAGAAATGGCACTAGACTGCCCCCTCCCCAGTGACCGCTGGATTGTCACTACCACCTGCTGGGGGGCGCTGGAGTGGCTCGAAGTGGCTGTGATGATACGGGGACCTGTTGCGTCCCCACAGTGGCTCAGCTTTTGCGTGCGTCTCTGTGCTCACCGTGGCCCAGAGTGGAGGGTGGGATGGGGACAGGCCCAGTGACCAGCGACCGCATTGATGGTGACAGCACCTTTCACAGCCAAGTGTCTGGGAGGTGCTTCCCTGCAGGGAAGGGGTGAATGAGACCCTGAGGGGAACCTGCAGCATTTACTGCCTACATGCTCTGAGAGACACTGAGACCACAGGGAAACCAGTCCGCTGTGAGTTCAGCGGACTCCAGCTCTTAACCTGCTCCCACCAAGACCAGGAGTGACGGCCAGCAGCACAGTCCTGAGGTTCCTTCCAAAGGCAGCTTCAGGGGCTGGGGATTTAGCTCAGTGGCATAAGCGCCTGCCTTGCAAGCAGGCAGTCATGAGTTCGATCCCTGGTACTGATAAAAAAGAAAAAAACAAACAAACAAACAAAAAAAAACGAAGGCAGCTTCAGTGTGCCATGGTGGCAGGGCCTGGAGGTTCCCTGGCATGAGAGCCGTCACAGGGAGCAGACAGTCCCATCTCCATTGGTTTCCTGCGCAGCCTGCTCAGCACTGGCACCTGTGGCCAGGTGGGCACATGTGTGGCCACCACGAGCCCATGCCAGTGTTGCACCCTGCAGCCTGCAGAGCTGTGGCTGGCCTCACAGACTTCTCAGTGGTGTGTTGCGCACAGCCTGAGGCGGCGAGGCGGGACCAGATGGGATTGGAAGGGATGGGCATTTGTTATGGCCCTGGGATCTTCTAGACACTGAGCATCCACAGGGTGGGACCTGATTATTTGGGGATCTGTGTGACGTTGTCATCTAACTCTTCGGTAGAGCAGGCACTGTCCTCGGGAAAGGAAGCAGCGATGGCATCTCTGTCCATGCAGTGATTCCCACGCCAGGGCTGGGTAGACCCCAGCCTGCCTGCCTCAGTGCTGTCATCTGCAGCTTCGTGGGACACTGGGGGTGCTCTATCGTAGGAGTGGGGTGCAAACCGAAGCCAAGCCCCTGCCGCTCCACGCTGCAGTAGTCCCTGCTGGGCCCAGCAGATGAACCTCAGGGAGCAGAGCGGTGGCTGCCGGCTCCTCCCAAGGCTGAGAGCACAGTGGGCCCCTGCCTGCTCAGACTCTGTGACTCACTGAGGGGTCCTGTTTAGCCCAGGTCTCACTGTGGGGGGGGGGCGAGCTGTGGTGGCCCCATGCTGAGGACCATTTCCAGGTTAGGCCTGGAGACCAGGAGGGGCCTCCAGTGCAGCGCAAGCTGGACTCACAGGTACAGCCTGGTCACAGTGGGCTGTTACTCTGCTAGATGTCCGGTTTGGCCTCTTGGGCAGTGCCAGCGGACAGGAGGAGAGAGAAGGAACACAGACTCTTGATGTGGTATACAGGGAACTGTCACTGTTCCTCCTCTCGCTGTGTGTCTGGAGAACTTGGGGGTTCTCCCTGTCTGGGGCCGGCACCTTCTCCGCAGATGCTGGGCCCCTGGGCCTCTTCTACAACCCTGGTGGCACGAGATGGCATCTGTGAGACCAAAAGTCTTTCTGCCCTGCATACATCTTGTGAGCACGTGGCTGCTGTGAGCGCCTCCTCTTGTGCAGGGCGGCCCCACAGTCCAGGTGCTCAGCTGTCCTCTGAGGTGCTGTGGCTACTGCAGAGACCTGTGGACAGCCACCGAGAGAGGACATGTCACTAGGCCCCGACCACAGTGACTTTTGCATTTCTTTTTGTCACCAAACCCTATTTCCATTGTTTTCCTCCACTTGCCACCCAAAATGTCACCAACCCAGGGACAGGTTCTTCCTGTTGGGACAGTGTCAGGCGTTGAATGTGGCCACATCCAGGCAGAAAGGTGTGTGATTGCTGGTGAAGCTGTCTTGAGCCCCCAGAGGCTCATCCCTGTCACCGGCACACTGCCTGTCGTTGTCACCATCGTCATCGTCCTGCCTTTCCAGCACGGGGAACCAGGACATTTGGCCACCTGGCGGCCCATGTTGCCGACTCTCTAACAGTGCTGTGACCTGTGTCTCCTCGGGCCTGAGCAGCCTGTGCTCCCGCCCGCACTGCTTAGCACATGACTGCCGCCAGCTGCACCCTGCAGGTCGCTGGGGTGCCCTGGGAAGCACAGGCCTCCCATGAACCAGGCCAGGCTCCCGGCAGTCTGGCCTTCATCCACTGCCAGCCATGGCCGGGAGGGGGCGTGTAAGAGCCACAGAGCCTGCTGGGCTGCGGCCCAGGGGTGGCAGGACCTGGTCAGCGCTGCACTGCCCTGCATGGAGCCGGACACACTCAGCTTTGTGCTCACGCAGCGTGCTAGCAGGCCTTGTCTGCCCATGCGTGGCCTCAGCCCACCTTCTCCTGCTCTGAGGCCCGGGGGTTGGATTTTTATTGTGAGGTGAGGTCCCACCGAAGACACCCAGGCTGGGCTCTAATTTGGGACTGACCTGAGTTCTGGGATGGCAGGTGTGTGCCACCACCCTGCTTAATCCACTGTCCATTTTCTTTGTTGCAAGACCAGGTCTTGGGGGGCGGTGTATGTGTGTGGGGGCCATGCAGGCATTGCCTCTCACTGCACCCTGCTGAGTAGCCAGGACTGACTGCAGCACCACCACCATGCCCAGCTGGCCCCTTGTATCAGCCCGTATGGCTGCTTCGCTGCTCTGGTTGCTCCTAAGGTCTCATTTTGCATTCGGTGGAATGTATGGCTTCACTGCTGCTTCATGGATCACTGCTTTGGGTGCCCTTGGGCCAAAATCACTCGTTCGAGACCCTGAATGGTGGGAAGGTGGAGGAAGCCGCTCTGTGCCTGGCTCTGGGCTGCGCTGTTCCCATTCCTGGTCCCGGGTGGCATCTTTGATGTGCATGCGTGGGGTCTCCCCTTACTGGGGCAGAGGGCACCCCGTGAGGGCCTTCAGGCCAATGTGGCCAGGTTCCCGTGTGGCCTGAGCCCTTGGGGCCTGACCCACAGGGTGAGGCCACTGAGATTAGATCGAGGGCCCTGCTGCTGGGCGCATCCCGCTTCTTCCTGACTGTGTGGCTAAAGTTCTGTCTGCACCGTCTAGGCAAGAGGAAGCAGGAAGAGAGGGCCAGGGGGCTGTGGGGTGTTTTTGAGCCAGAGGCTGCTTGGGCCCCTGCTGCTGGAGGGCAGTGCTGGCCACTGCCTCCAGGACCGGGAGCTGTGCCCGACTCTTCTGGTACCATCTGGGTCATTGGAGGAGGGGTCAGGCAGAGCCTGGCTCTCCAGCTGTGAGCACTGTGTCTTGGGTCTCATCTGCGCGACAGTGGCACCGAGGCTGGCTTCTCGTGGAGGTGCTATTCGGTGAGGCTGGAGGAATGATCACTCAGCAAACAGTGGCAGCAGTGCTGCCCTGTCTGTCACTGTCCTGTCACTAGGAAGTCAGCCGGGGCAGGGCAGGCTCTCCCTGGGGCTCTGATAGGAAAACAGCAGTGACAGCACCTCCCGGGTGGGTGTCAGGGTGGAGAGGTGGCTGCACGGCACCTGTGAGGGGACGGCTCACCACTACGGTGCGCTGTGCTCTGCTGTCCGAGAAAGCACGGCCGGCTAAAGGAAGTGATCTGCAGCGGGTGGCCTCTCGGGACCTCCAGCTGGGCCCTGTCCTGACAGCAGGGGGCCACCTGGGCCTCCTCAACGCCTTTCCAGGTGGTTGTGCCACTCACCCCATGGTGACCACTCACGTCCACCCAGAGAGGCCCCCTGTAAGGAGGGCAGTGACCGATCTGTGCCCCCCTGTGGGGCGTGTTCCTCTCCTCAACTCATTCCTTGACCATATTTGCTGCTCCTCTGAGGCGGGTCAGAAATAGCCCGCTCCCAGGGGAGCCCAGAGAGCAGGAGCGGTGGGGTCTCTGAGAGGGATGCAGAGCCAGAATGGGATTCCCGAGTTGTCTCAGCCACTGCCATAGCCCATGCCGTGGACAGAACTGCCTCTGGACCCCCAAGGTCCCACTGTCCAGCCGGGCTCTGTCACTGCAGCACCCAGACGCCTCCTGGGTCCTGAGGGAACCCCACAATCATGCTGGCCCTGAGGTGGCACTGAGCTGTGTGCCTTCCTGTGCCACCTCTGACCCTGGCTGCCCCAAGGATGGGTGTCCTGTTCTCGCCTTACAGGCAGAGAAGCAGAGGCTAGGAGAGGTTTGGTGACTGACCTGAGGTCCCAGGGTCAAAAACATCAGTGCTTGAGCGCTAGCACGCAACCCCGGGTCTGTCTCTGCTCCTCACCTTGGCTTTACTGCCCCAAGCACGGGGGTGGAGGGCTCAAGGCTGACGCCCGGGGTCTGGAGACAGCAGCGCAGTGACAGCCTGAGGTCCCGGGGGCTGTACTGTGAGGGGTGACGCCCCTCACAGTATGTGTGTACCGCTGGGTTACAGCCGCCTGCCTAGAGCCTTACTTCCCCCCTCCCGAGGTGTGGTGAGCTCCCTGGTGTGATGCCAGTCTGCAGGCCCAGCCACTCTTACCCGCTCTGTTCCGCACCCATCTTCCTCCCATTAGCCTCCACCTGTCTCCTCGGCTGCAAGGCCCTGCCCTGTCCCCTGCCTGCTGGGCAAGTCAGTGGTTCCTGTCCTGCCCACAGCGCACTGGCGCATGCAGAAGGGAGTGCGTTCAGAAGTGTGGATCTGAGCCCGGGTGCAGCTCAGTGGGCAGCACTTGCCTAGTGTGCAGAGCCCTGGGTTCACTCCCAGCCCTGCAAAACTAATGGTTTAAAACAGTATGTAGTGGGTCAGGGATTTAGCTCAGCAGTGTAGGTGCCTGCCTGGCAAGCTCAAGGTCATGAGTTCAGTCCCTGATACAAAAAAAAAAAAAAAAAACATAGACTGGGCCATGGCCTTGTGCTGTGCAGAGCCCCTGGCCCTGAGCACCAGAGGAGACGAGCGACAAGCTCCGAGGGTCCCCTGTAGGACTAGTGCAGGGTACAGCCATCATTAGCCATGCCTCGCTGCTCTAAGGCCTGAAGCAGAACTGTGGCACCTGCTCCTGTCACCACACTGTGGCCGAAGTGGCCTTCCTGGTCCCTGTCCTGCTGTTCAGTGCCTGGGAACGGCAGGTGACACTTCCCTGCCTGGCTGCTGGCTCTGTGTGAGGTGCAGTAGAGTGTCCCCTGGAGACAGCAGGCAGATTCCGGGGAGCTGCAAGGCTTCAGTCACTTGCAGTCTCAGGTGGGTGTGCTTTCCCCTGGTCTTCCCAGGAAGGTTCGGGGCTCCCCTTTCAGCAGCACTGTGAGCAGCAGGGTTTATGGGTCAGGCGTGTGGCCAGTCCTGGTTGGCCACGTGGGCCAGCATGAACAGACATGTGTGTGCACATACACACATGCGCACGCGCGCGCTCGTGCACACGCATGCACATGCAGGCCTACCTCAGGTCAGGCTCTGTTGGTTTGCATGGATACAAAGAAAGGGCAAGAAGCAGAGTGAGAGGCAGGCAACAGGAACGGACAGGGACACGGCACAGCGAAGACCGTGCCCAGCAGACATGAGGCCCTGGCTCCCTGGCTCCGAGGGCTCCCAATGCCATGCAGGGCCCCGTGTCCATCCGAGGCTCCCTTGAGCCGTGTGTGTGCACACAAGTCCCTCGCAGCTCTGGGTGTGTGGGGTCCTCATTCCTGGGTTCAGCCTCAGGACCCCCATCCACACAGGCGCTTTCTCAGAGATGATCTTGCTGATTTGCCCCTGATCCTCACAGTGAAGGGAACCTGGGGTTCCCAGCATTTCTTTTGGAACCCTTAGCTTTGACAGCCTGTCCCCAAAGAATCAGAAGCCAGAAGAGAGGAAGAAGTGGTCCCACCTTTCCCACCCGCATCTTCCTCCAGTGAGTCACTGGGGAAGGCCTGTAAACCAGTCGCCCACTTCCTGTGGGTGGAAAGGTTCTTAATGGAAGTTGGGAGCCCCCACTGTGGTCCTCCTCAACTCAGGGACCTCAGTATCAGGAAGTCAGATGGCCTGGCCCGGCCTGGTGACCTTGAGTGCCCGTGCAGGTGGGACGGAGCCATGGAGCTTGAAAGTGAGGGCTCGTGACGAAGTCCTCAGTGAAAACTGAGGGGAAGCCGGCCAGGTGCCCTGGGCTGGGCTGCATCTGCACCTGAGACTGGTGACAGCCCCAGGTGAACTCTGGGGCCAGCATACTGTAGCACATGCAGGGGCAGCTATCGGGGCAGGTGGGAGCGTCTGGTGGGCAGCGCTGCAGCGGTGTCTGCTGTCCGTGCGCTGCCCTGCTGTGCCACCTGCTGCCCGATCCTGTTCTTGCTGCTGGAAGGACCCACCTTGTGGTCCCCTCTCCGGAAGTGCGGCTATGCCTTCATAGCCTAGGCCGGGTGCCTACGCCTATGCAGTGTTCCACAGGAGGAAGCTGGGCTGAGTGGTGCCGCCTGCAGTCCTGGGTGCTCAGAGGCTGAGGCTAGAGTCCAGGAGCTCAGGGATGACCTAAGCAACAAAGTGAGAACCTGTCAAAAATGAAGTGGGAGCCGGGCGTGGTAGCTCACACCTGTAACCCCAGCACTCAGGAGGCTGAGACAGGAGTATCGTTGCGAGTTCGAGACTGGCCTGGGCTACAAAGTGAGCTCAAGGCCAGCGTGAACTGCATAGAGAGACCCTGTCTCAAAAAAAAAAAAAAAGCAAAAATAAAGTGGGAAAAGATAGTAATGAACTTTGCGTTTTGTTTTTTCTTTTCCATAGCTGCTATCAACTTAGCAAAGCTGAAGCTCTTCAGACACTACTACGTCTTGGTGAGTACACACGGCCTGAACTTCCTTGGTAAAGTCAGCCCAGGCATCAGAGCAGTGAGCTTTGATGGGTGTGGGATGGCATGAGGGCCTGAGCTGCCTGGCGCTGCTGCTTTCTCCTTTATTTTTTCCTTTTTTTTTTTTTTTTTTTATTGGTACCGGGGATTGAACTCGTCACCGCCTGCTTGCACGGCAGGCACTTACGCCGCTGGGCTAAATCCCCAGCCCCGCTTTCTCCTTTATAACATCAGGTCATGTCTCTCTGAATGGAAATTAACTCTCTGGGTCACTTCTTCCTAAATTTTAGTTTTAGATTTGGTTTAAAATGCATAGGAAAGTAGGCAGGCATAGTAGCACACTCCTGTAATCCCAGCACTTGGGAGGCTGAGACAGGAGGATGGCTCCGAGGTTCGAGGCCAGTCTGGGCTACAGAGTGAGCTTAAGAGCAGCCTGCACTAGCAGTGAGACTGTCTCAGGATACATAACCAAGGGCTGGGCATTTAGCTCAGCAGCATAAGTGCCTGCCTTCGTAAGTGCCTGGACGCAGTTGTGAGTTCGATCCCTGGTACCAAAAAACAAAACTAGAATACAAAACCAAACAATGGAGAAACCAACTCAGAGCAGTAATGCGGGCTTGATGTGAAAGCAGTGGCCCTCGAGCCCTTGCGCCCCAGGGTGCTGCACATCCCCTGGGCTCTGCTCGCTCTGCGCCGCCCCTGCCGCACTGCACTTTGCTCTCTGCTCTGTGCCTGTTCAGGAGATGGGCTTGTGCGGCCGCTCCTGGCCGCTCCTGGCAGCCCATGCTTTCCCACTGCTGCTGCTAGAGCGACCAGTGCCGCCGCGCCCTCCTCCAGGTCCCCTGCCGGAAGCCGGTCTTGGGTTGTTTTCCCCTTAAGAATAGAAATCTGGGGCCGGGGATTGAGCTCAGCGGCACAGGCGCCTGCCGGCAAGTATGAGATCATGAGTTCCCTCTCGGGTACCAAAAAAAAACCAAGAATAGAAATTGGAGGCAGCTTTTGTAAAAGCTGAACAGCGGACAGTGGGAGATGTGCAGGTGGCTGTAGGCTGTGCTTCAGACCGCCACACTGTCCCTCAAGGGTGGCAGTTTCTTGGGGATGCCTGGGGCTGAGCTTGCCCCATCGCAGCTGCGGTCTTAGCATTGGCCCTCGAGCCGTGCAGCGAATAGCTCTGAGCAGGTGTTGGCTGCACCAGCAGAGCAGCAGGGACAGCTGACCCACTCGGGCTCTGGCTTGAGTGCGGGACAGTGTCATCCCCGAAAGGAGAGCCTCTTCTGGGCACCAGGCCTGCAGCCTGGATCCCAGGCCTGTCCTGGGCTTCCAGGTCCATGTGTCTTGGTCACCTAGATACAGGAAGGACTCCTGCAGCTTGGCTGGCAGGTGGCAGGAGGCGTCTCTGGTCTGCACCGCAGTTATCACTGGTGGGGGCGGGGTGGGGATACCGTGTGGCCCTGGGTCCTGGACACCAGCATTGGTCTCATCTCCTGCCGGGCTTCCTCCTGCTCTCTTGTCCACAGATCGTGTGTTACATATACTTCACCAGGATCATCGCCTTCCTCCTGAAGCTGGCTGTCCCCTTCCAGTGGAAGTGGCTTTACCAGGTGTGCTGGCCTAAGGCATGGCCTCCGCCTGCCCTGCTCTAACTGGGGACCTGGGGACGGCCACCAAGACCCTCCAGGGCCCAGCTTCTGGGCACTTAGCTTTCTCTCTGCCCACGGGCACTGCTGCGTCCTCTAAACAGTCAGGGAAGAACCGCACTGTCAATGTTAGTTTTCAATTTAAAAATTCTGAGAAGCAGAGCAGAATGTGATTGAGACCTGGAGGAGACCCAGGCTTGCCCTTGGTCCTCCATGGGTGACGCTGGTCACACAGTGCCTGCAGTGGCCTGGAAGTGCCTACCTGCCAGAGCCAGAGCCAGAGCCAGCCACCCAGTGATTTAGACCCCCTTTTCCTTGGAGAGCTCCCCCTGTAGGAAACTGTCGTACAAAGTGCGTTCTTCAAAGGCACCTTGCAGTGTGCTCCCAGCACTCTGGGAGGCTGAAGCAGGAGGGTCATCAGTGCAAGCCTAACCCAGGCAATTCAGTGACTTAGACCCCATCTCAAAATAGAGTTAAAAAGGCTGAGGATGCAGCTCAGTGCAAAAGCCCTGAGTTCTATTCTCACTGCTGTAGAAATAAAAAAGGCAGCAATGGGAGGGCTGGGGATGCAGTCAGGGTAGAGCATTGTCACATGGGCGTGAGGCCCTGCGGCACCTCCCTGCAGGTCTGGGGAGCCTTGGGGGGCAGGAGCTGCCACGCTGCTCTGCACACAGTGGACAGGGTGGGAGGCTCAGCCCAGTCAACGCCTCTGCTTTCTGAGGAGCCGAGTCCAGATCCCCTGACTCGGGTGCTTTTTAACCATGCAGCTCCTGGATGAAACAGCCACGCTGGTGTTCTTCGTCCTGACGGGGTACAAATTCCAGCCGGCTTCGGACAACCCCTACCTGCAGCTGTCTCAGGAGGACGAGGACCTGGAGATGGAGACAGTGTAAGCTGCCCTCCTGCCCGGGGCCCACTGCTCTGGGGAGGCCCCTGATTTTAGCAGAAGGACACAGACACCTGGGCCCCAGCTATGGTCACACAGTTAAAAGTGCCGTGTCTGCCAGCCGTTGCCCAGTGTCACCCAGGAAGCACAGCTGGCTGTCCCATTAAGCTCTCTGGAGCCCATCCTCCGCCAGTGCAGAGCTCGGGCACTGACCACCCCTGGAGTGGCGAGCCATTAGCACCTGAGGTCAGGAATAATTCCTCAGAGTCCCCAGCAGGGCTGTCCGAGCCTCACAGGTGCTCCATGTTGGATACCTGAGCGGCCTGCTGCACACGGCTGACCTGCATCTGGATGGTGCCCTGGGCTTGTGTTCTGGGACAGGGCCATCATTTTCTATTTGCTCAGTGTGACCGAGTCTGCTAGGCCAGTTCAGCCTGCACGGTGATCGGCCTTCGCAGGGCTTCTCCCTCCTCAGCTCTGGGGTCCCCTGCTGTTCACGGTCCAGAGCGGAGATGGCCTCGGCCACTACAGGCCCTGCTGGGGCCTTCGTGCTGGGCCTCACCCCGCAGAGGAAGAGACATGGGCTGTTTGCAGGTAGCTGGGCCACAGCTGTCTGTCACAAGCAGTGAAAGATACACAGATGCCAGCCAGCTAGTGACAGCTGTCCCTGCCCCTCAGGAAACCTGGCCGGCTGCCTTGGTCCCTGCCGAGCCCACAGCTCAGTCCCCAGCATCACACAGGTCCCCAGGACTGGGGTGAGGAGCTGGAGGGCTGGGCCACAGTGTCCCCCACACTGCCAAGCTGAACCCCAAGGATAGCCTGGCGGCAACACCAGATCCTCCAGCCCTCTGTCAGCTGCTGCGTCTGGGCACGAGGGTCCCTTTGTCCCATGAATTGTTTTTCTTTCTTGTTTGGGCCTAAGCATTTTCTGGGGCATTTTAGATATACATGGTGATCACGCTCACCACAGAGGATCTGTGCCCCCATGCGTAGAACTGGGTTCTGCTTCCCCTCCCCTCCCCTCCCCTCCCCTCCCCTCCCCTCCCACAGCCTGCCTTCCCCTCCCCACTCACCGAAGCTTTGTGTCTGGTTTTCCTTCCATCCCTCTTTATCCCTTTCCTTCCCTGCCCTCCTCCATGCCCGCCCTTGCCCCACTGCCCATTTGGGCGCACCCTCCCTGCTTCCCACCATCTGCCCGCCATTACCTGTGCAGACGCCTTGGGCTTTTCACAGGGGAGGAACGGTGCACTCATTGGACTTGTGAGTCTGATTCATTTCACACAAGGTGATGGCCTCAGGCCCATCAGTTTCACCAAGCGACTCCAGTTTGTCCTGCTTTATGGCACAGTAGTACTACGCTGTGTATAAATCCCAGGCTTCCGTTACCCTTTGCCTGTTGATGGACACATGGGAGCCACAGTTCATGATAAGTCATACCGCTGTCCGTGTGGGTGCATGGGTATCGCTGTGCTATGATGTTTTTAATTTGTGGGGGAAGATACTCAGAAGGGAAACAGCCGGGTCGAATGGGACCTCCTCTCCTAGTTTTTGAGGACTCTGCACACTGACTTCCATGGTGGTTGTACCTGTCTGCACTCCCACCGACAGTGGAGAGGGTTCCTTGCCCACAGCCCCTCCAGCATTCGTTATGGGCTGATTTCCTGAGAGTAGCCATTCTTTCTGGAGTGAGGTGGAATCTCAGTGTTGTTTTAATTTGCATCTCTTGGAACGACCATACTGAGCATTTTTTATAGGTTTATCTGCCATTTTTACATCATTTGAGAAGGTGCGTGCTCATCTCTCTACTTTTGGGTTGGTTCTTTTTTTTGTTTTTGTTTTTGTTCTTTTTTAATATTGGGGATTGAACTCATGACCTTCTTGCCAGGCAGGCACTTATGCTACTGAGCTAAATCCCCAGCCCTGGGTCTTTAAATTGAAGGTTTGATTTTTTTTTTTTTTGAGTTCTTCATATATTCTATATATTAATCCTTTGCATGAGGGAAAGCTAGTAGAAACTTCTTCCCATTGTGTGGGTTGTCTCTTCACTGTTGATGGTTTCTCTTGCTGTGTAAAAGCTTTTTAATACAATGTGATCTTGGTTGTTGATCTTGGTCATGTTCCTTGTGTGATCAAGGTTTTGTTGGTGAAGTCTTTGCCTACACCTGTGTCTTCAGGAGTTGCCCCTGTTCTGTTTTGTCTTCCACCAGATTTGGTATTTCTGTTTTAATATTTAAGTCTTTGATCCATTTCTGCTTTAGTTTGGTGCATGGTGAGAGACATGGGATCTCTAATTTTCACTTTTCCCAGCACCGTTTTATTAAAGAGGCTGTCTTTCTACCAATGGAGGTGTTTATCCATCTCCTTTGTCAAAGATAAGGCACCTGAGTATGTCTGGAGTTGTTTCTGCGTCTTGTAATGTGCTCCATTGGTCCTTAAGTCTAGTTTTTTTTTTTTTTCCATACCATGCTGCTTTAACACTGGCAGCTCTGTAGTATAACCTGAAGCTGGAGATTGTGCCCCCCCTGCCTTCCCCTTGTTTCCCAGAATTGTTTTTGCTCTTCAAGGTCTTTTCTGGTTATGTGTGCATTTCAGGATGGTTTTCCTCTAGTTCTGTAAGGTGTGCTGTCAGGAATCTGACTAGGATGGGGTTCAGTCTGTGTAACAGTTTTAGACGTTTGTTGACCCCAGATCTGTTTAACCCTCACTTTGCTGTCTGGGCAGCTGACAGTGTGTGACGCTGGTGGTGGGTACTCCAGCAAGGGACTTTAGGAGTGCTGGCGTCAGGCAGCAGTGCAGGGCCAGGTGTCCCCATGGTGGCCCCTGTGAGGCTCCCACAGCAGGGAGAGGTGCGGGTCCTGCTGGGTACGGAGGAGGAAGTGAGGCCCGCAGCAGAGGAGGCCACCGGGCCCAGGGCTTCCTGCTCACGAGGCCTCTCTCCCTGCTCAGGGTGACCACATCGGGGGCGATGGAGAGCGTAAAGAAAGTGAAGAAGGTGACCAACGGCCTGGTGGAGCCCCAGGGTGACTGGGAGGGCACTGCATGAGGCGCAGGCCCTGCAGACGCTGCCGCCGTCGGAGAAGGCCAGTGACTCCAAGCGGCCCTGTCGGGGAGCGGGGGCGGCCCAAGCAGCGGCCCCGGAACACAGCGCACGGACCCTACTTGCAGACTCGCTGGGTTAACTGGGCCTGCATGGGCCCATGGTACCGGCAGCCAGGACTGGCCTGCAGGAGAGGACAGGGTCAGCCCTGGCTTCACCTCTTCAATCGGGAGCTCTGGGGTTCAGGCAGCAGTGACCCCGAATATGTGGAGCCGAGAAAGACGCACCAGGGACGCAGACACGGCCAGACAGCACCAAGGACACGGGGGAAGGACGTGGTGGCTTTGGGGACAAAGGGGAGGGGCTGTGCCGGGCTCCTTCCTCTGGCCAGGCCCTGACCTCCTCATGGGGACAGGGCTGGAACAGGGGCCAGCTCTGTCCTCACCACAAAGGCCCAGGCCGGAGGCTGCCACTGCTCGGCCACAGCTTTCCATGTGGAGGCGGCAGGACCAGGCTGCAGAGGTGCCTCCTCTGCCTGCCGGGCCTCCTGGCCTCCTGGCCTGCCGATCTCCTCTGCCTGTTTGCCTCTGCTCTGGGCTTGCATCTGTGTCTGGGGTCCAAACTGGCGAGCGAGTGGGAGACGTCTCCCCCAAGCTGGGTCTGAGCGGCGCTGAGTGCAAGGCGTCGTTGGTAAAGCTTTGCCCTCCGTGGAGCCGGTGCGCCTGAGTTCAGAAAAGCTGGAGGCTGAGGCAGAGTTGGGCCTCAGGGCACTGCAGTCTCAGGAAGCCCCCAAAGCTCTGCACCCCTCAGAGCAGGGCCAGCTGCAAGGTTGCCAGGAGGAGCCACACTCTCCAGTGCCCCTGAGGGGGAGCAGAGGGGACCTGGGCTGCAGCCAGCAGTGCCTGCAGGGCCTCTCCCAACAGAAGGGCGGTGAGAAGCCGTGGGCCTGGCTGTGCCCCTTCCCTAGGTTCAGGAGCCTAGGAGGCAGAGAATTCCCCGCACCGTCCTCACCCTAAATGATATCGAGGACCACCGAGTCCTCTCTGACCTGGATTAGCACCGGTGCCCCCACCTCCATCCCTGGGTAGGTGGCTCCTGCTCACCCCGAGCAGGGCAGAGGGACCGGGCCAGGGAGCCCGCTGAGAACCGCTCTTGTTACCCTGGCCCTGTTCCGAGTGTGCGTGACAGGGATGTGCTCCGCTTAGCTTTCTGTGCGTAAACAGCGCCTGCAGGACCCACGCATCCCTCACTCCAGGGGGTGCACTTGTGAGCCCCTTGCCCGGGGATGCCAACGCCCAGATGCCAGACGCCTCCCCACCAGGATGGGCCTGCGGAGACCTGATTTCACCCTCTGGGTTGTGTGTGCTGGAGTTCAGACCAGGACCTCATATCCTCCAGCCAGTGTCCCAGCCCACACGCCAGCATCAGAAGGAGATGTCCCTGCTGTAGGTGGCTGGTGGCTGCAGCTGGGCAGCCCTGCCAGGGCGAGGAACCCGAAGGCCAGAGGGAGGCACAACGTCTTCCGGCTCGCATCCCGGTGGTGGCCCTGAGTGCGGGAGGCTCCCGTCCTCTGCAGAAGGCTCCTGAGGGCAGCATGGCTTCCTGGCGGCAGGAAGGTCGGCACCCACTCTGTCCTCCAGCTCTGAGCAGCTGGTGGCGCCCTCCCTGCAGCCCTCTTCCCCGTCCTGCTGCGCCTTCCTGTGCCGTTGTCCACGTCTCCTCTGGGAGCCTGCAGGTGCTGCTGGCTGGGAACTGTAATAAAGTGTGTTTTGCTAGAAAATTACTTCTTGACCATAAGAACAGTCATTGCTCTCTCTATCAGAAGCCAGGGGCTCTACCCCCCGACTGCTTCTTCCCTCCCACAAGGCTTTAAACCACTGGGGGGAGGGGCCTTCCCAGTTGGGGGGCAAATCTGCAGTTTACTCTCCCTCTGAGAGCAGCCCCAGCAGCATTCTAGGTGTTTGCTCAGACTGCGCCCAGTCTACTCAGGCTGCGTCCAGGAAACCACTGTGGAACAAGTCCTCTGCGTAACCCCTCGGTGCCACCCACCTGGGCTGGGGACCCCAGGGCTGTGCTAGGCTGGTTCTGCTAAAGGCCCTGGTGGTCCTGAGTGATCGCGGTGTTCCCTCCAGGCACAGGGGAGTTCGGTGCAGTGCCATGTGTCTCTGCTGCGGATCATGGAGGACATCTTTTCCCGCACTGAGACGGATGTCCTTTGGATCCCAGGCAGGTACATCCAGAGCCAGGCATGTCCCGGAGCCAGGCGTCTACCAGAGCACTTCCTCTGACCAGGCCCTGGAGCAGAGGGGCTGCCAGGCCGTGGCCCTGCATGAGACCCAGTCACTGGGCCTCACTCCAGCTGTCGTGTGTCAGTGGAAGCCGCCACTGCCCCTCCAGCCTGAGTCCACACCACACACAGCCAGCACCCTCTCCAGGCCACAGCCCCTCCCCAAGTTAGTCCTCACTGGCTTCTGTGTTCCTTTCCTCCCTTCGGACCTTGACTGGCTGCCTCTTAGTAAATGAGACAAGTAGCATCTAGAACACGTCCAGTGTTACTCAAGATCCGCACCAAGGTGTCCCAGCAGGCCCTGGACACCTCTCATGCCGCCACCGCCCGCAGGGTGTTTTACAGTCAGCAGGCTGAATGCCCCAGGTCTCCCAGGGCCCTGCAGCGAGGCCCTGCAGCTGCAGCTCCTGCATGGCTGGAGAGCTGGGTAGTGTTCTGAGAGAGCTCGGTGCCCGGGCATAGGCGGGCACCCCCAGCGGTACAGGATGCCGAAGGCACCCACAGTGGTGGGGGTGGGGGGAAAGGACACAGTCACAGCCGGAAGTCTGCAGATGGGTGTCGGGGGAGGAGCTCCAGCAGCAGTCAGGAAAGGACATGGTGGCATCGGTGCCCAGACAGTGCGCACAGCTTGAAGCCCAGCTGGAGGCTGTTGGGTGGAAGCAGGGAACACTAACATTAGAGCTACTCTGCCATCCCAGGCCTGGAAGCCCTGTAGGCCTGTGCCTACGGGGTCTGTGCTGTTTTTTTGGTTTTTTTTTTTTTTTTTTTTTTTTGTCTTTTCTCTTTTTATCGGTACCGGAGATCGAACTCACAATTGCCTGCTTGCAAGGCAGGCGCTTATGCCACTGAGCTAAATCCCCAGCCCCACGGGGTCTGTGCTGCTCTGACAGCTTCTGCAGGCCTGGCCAGGGCAGGAGGGGGCTGGGTCCCGAGGTGAGTATCTTGTCCCCTCTCCACCAGGCAAGGGCAGAGGGTCTCAGTGCTTCCCTAACCCTGGTGACCACTGTAGAGTTTCTGGCTGGGTGTGCTGGGCAGGGACTTGGGCGGGTGACACGGGGGAGCTGCTGGCCATGCTGCAGCTGCCTCCCTGAGCCTGGCTGCTGGGCACGCTCTCCTCCACCACTGCCTCACGACTTTTCCTTTGTGATTTTTGTTCATTAAATTAGCGAACTGCCACCTACCTGCTCCACCCAACAACAGTGACACCTACCAGAGCAGCTCGGTGGCAGCGGCAGCCCCAACAGACACTGCAGTAACCCAGCCTGGGGTCACCAGTATCCTGAGGGGAGGGAGCAGGGAGGCAAAGCCCCCAGTCCCGAGTGTGGTCCTTGTGCTGCCTGTGGCACCAGCTGTGGGAGCCATCAGTTCCCCGCCCCCGGGAAGGCCAGGCCCATCAGTCCCCAGGCCCAGGCCTTGAGTTTTTCTAGGCATTGTGTTTATCACACGGTAAAGCTCATCTTTGTAAAAATATGCTGCTGGGTGGGTTTTGACAGGTGTGTGTGATCCACAGGGAACCCTCCCTGGGCCCAGGAAGCACCCCAGCTCAGGCCGATCCGAGGGTTCCACAGTGTCCCAGGTATAGAGCACAGTGAGCGAGCTGTGTCTTCTCTGTCACACAGTGAGCTGATCTGTGATGTTATCCGTCCTGAGCCCTGTGAGAACTGCAGACAGCGAAGCTTGTGGCCGTCCTAGCACTGACTGCCCCGACCCTAGCCAGCGAGCATCAGGGAAGAGAGAGAAGACCAGCCTGGCCCTGCCAGACTGACGGGATGGGAGCAGTCGGCTGTGGTGGTTTCTGCCATTGTGTCTGTAGTAATGGTAAAATCCTCCCAGTCACAGTGTCCTAGATGTGCAGGAGGAAAAGGGGCCCTAGGATGTGTGTCACCAGCCAGGGTTCTGCCAACCCTGTTAGGGACCGTGCCTCGGTCCAGCCCTTGTCCCTGACCCTGCCGGGGCACTTGTGCACCAAGGGGTGGGGCAGGAGCAGACAGGGACAGGACCTTTAGGACCATCTCATCCCAGGGTTTCTCAGACTGCAGCAAGTGCCGGACCCTTTGGGGGCAGTGCTGATGAGCTGCCCCAGATTCCCCTTTGAGAGAGGCTCTGACCAGCTTCCCACCTGAGCCCCAGGTGGCAGACATGCATCACCTTGGGGGAGCTCCCAGGGAATTGCAGCAGCCCCAGGCCTGCCTGTGACCAGTGCAGCCCCCCAATGAGACAGAGGACGCTCTTGTGGGTAACAGGTAACTGCTGACTTTATTGTTGCAGGTTCTGGCTTATATATCTGACTGTGGCCAATCAGGTTGCCACGAGGGCTGCCACGAGGAGGCAGGGCTGGAATGAGACGCGGGCTCTGGCTAATATACCCAGCTGTGGTCAATCAGGGGTTGCCACAGAGTCAGCATGGGGCGAATACGAAGTGAGCACGGGGTGGCTAATTTGGAGAGGGATGTAGCGCATTACGGAAGCTGGCGTGGTCCTTAGTCCCGGGTAGGGTATGGTATGATGAGCGCCTGCACCCAACATGCCTGGGGTCCTGTGGCCAAGAGGTCCTGGCTGCAAGACTCCTCTGAGCCTGTGGGGACAGGGCCTCTCAATGCCACCAAGTCACTTCAGCTTTTGTGGCCAGGACAACCTACAGCCCCCCTGGCATACCTGCTGGCTGCAGGTGGGCAGAGCTGTGGAGCCATCACCACCTATGGCCAAGTGTATGCAGCTGACCATGGCTGACCACAAGCCACAGGAAGCAACAGTGGCCGAGGTCTGGGCATACGAGCTGCTGGCCAGGCACCGGGGCCTCACAGGGCCCAGAGGGAGGTTGGGCAGCAGCGGGTAGAAGTCATTCCTTGGGCAGACATGGGGGGCCAACACTGGTTCAGGCCGGCTGGCTGCTGCTTCAAGTGGAGAAGAAAAACCTAATTGTCAGGAAAGGCAGTCTAATAGCAAAAGGTTATTTTTATTTTTATTTCTCCCCCCGCCCCAGTATTGTGGATTGAACCCAGGTCTTTTAAATTACCAATCCTCCTGCCTCAGCCTCCTGAGTAGCTGGGGCTACTGGCATGTGCCACTACACCCTGCTCAGCCAAGTGTTTCAAGGACAAGGAAGAAAACTATGAGGATCCTGAGTAGCAACAAGCTGGGCCGCATGGATTATGTGCTCTGACCACAGGAAGTGCTCACAGGTCAGAACAGGGGTCTTGGCCCATGCTTTCCAGGCCTTCGAGTGGCATCGCTGGGAACTTACTGGGGGGCAGGGGCAACTGTGTGCACCCCCGGCGGAGCAGCAGGTGTTGGGGACCCGCCACTGCCCCATTGGCCTGCAGTGTCACTGTGCCAGTTTCCTGTCCCCACCCCGGGCCCTGGCCCCTGCTGCCTCCTGTGGAGATGGTGGGTCAGCATCTGGGGTCCTGGCTGTGAGTGGGTCAGATGACCCACTTTGGAGCTATACCTATACCTTGTCCCTGGGCTGGGGAACTGCTGACCTCTGCACAGTGAGCTCTCTGCTTATTAGGATGGATCCTGAGGAGCGCGCATGGGGACAGAGCAGTGACACCATCTGGCTTGGCTTCCATCCTCCGAGCTGACAGGTGCAGCTCTGGGCAGAGAGTCAGCAGCACATCTGGCTTCTGTTGCAGGGCCAGGGACAGACTGCGGGCACACCGTGGGGACAGCTGAGCAGGTGGAAGATGGGCATTTCCTGCATCCCTGGTCCCTCAGCTGCCCCTGGCTTCCTCCTCCCACTTCCTGTCCCCTCCCCACACCACATCTTCATTCTTCCTGTGCACCCGCCTCCATCAGCACTGGCACTTCTCCAAGTCTTTCCAGTAAGAAAAGACAGCTGTAATTCCAGCCCTCTGGGAGGCTGAGTCAGGAGGGTCATAAGTTCAAGGCCAGCCCGGAAAATTTACACTGGGGGTGCTGGGGAATTGCTTACTAAGACAGGCCAGAAAGCCAGCTTTGGTCCTTGATGTCTCCAGTCGCCACCCAGCTCTGCAGCTCAGCTCCACTGCTTCTGTGTCCTCCTGCTACAGGGTCACGGCCACCAGCCTCACCCTGCACTGCCTGTTGGCCCTGTTCCAGCAGGTGACCTCAGACACACAAGCAGGAGCCAAGAGTGGAATTCAGGGAGCAAGTGTATTTCTGCACACCTGCAGCAAACATCCCAAAAGGTTCCTAGCTGGCCTGGTGGTGCGGGCCATGATCCCAGCACTCTGGGAGGCTGAAGCAGTAGGATCACAAGTTGACTTAGCAACTTAGTGACTCTGACTCAATATAAAAAATACAAAGGAAAAAAATAACAATAAAGGGGGTGGGGATTTAGCTCAGTGGCATAAGCACCTGCCTTGCAAGCAGGCGATCATGAGTTCAATCCCCAGTACCGATAAAAAAGAAAGAAAAAATAAAAATAAAAAGGGGCTTGGGGTAACAGCAAAAAAAAAAAAAAAAAAAAAAAAAAAAACCTAGGAAAATTTTATTTTTAATTTAATTATTTTTTT